GAAGGTGGTGGTGAATATTCGGCATACGAAGTGTAGAACGATAAAGGTCGCAGGATTTAATAAATCTGAGTGAGGGGTTCCCTCTGAAATGCAGAGGAAAATCAGGCACCACAACCGATAGAGTGTATATAGAGTAGATTAGAATATATGTTACTACTGAATGTATGACTATGAAGGACTGAGAGAGTACACACATCTAAATATGTATATATATTTAATTCAATTTCTTTATTTGGCGCCTTAAGGTCCATGCAGGTTCTTATCGGAAAATATGTCCTTTAAGTGAGATGATTGAATTTGACATATAGAACATTCACACTCAGATTTCATTTGCAGGTACCACTCGAGATTAACCCTTACGGCGTGTAACCTCTTCCGCGCAAACCACTACGGGGTGAAGCATGGATACATCCTGTGGCCACCGGAATGTACTTACATCATGCGACAAGTACAATGATACCGCGAGAGAGAGTGGTGTGTGAGATTGACTGGATTCGAACTGGCTTTCTCCTGTCTCAAATGGGGTAGGTGTTCAAGCTATTTAGTGACTACCAGGGTGAACGGCCCGGGTGGTGTACCACTGTACCATACAACCCTGACAGAAAGAATAGTAAGTGCCTTCAAATCGCACATGGCTATTTCGATGTGATATAGAACCTTGTGAAGGTTTAACCTATCGAGGTAATGATGTTGGTAGAGGGCAATACTGAACACCTGTACATGGTGTTCACAACAGTGAAGTCAAATATTCTCCCAGAATCAATTTCAGTCAAATTTCGCAATATCAAAGAAGTTAGCTCAAGCGGCAATTATTCAAAATACTTCATGTCAAATTTACACTTCTGAAGAAATCGACCCCTAGCCATGCCTCATCAAATGTGCAAGTACGACTCAGTATATTCTCATTTCAATGACCTCATTTCAATGACCTCAACTCTCTTCGACTATTTTCTGGTCTCAGCTGGCCACAAAATGTACACCCACGTCAATAAGAATAATCGTAGGAGGAAGCAAAGCATGGCGCATAAATCTAGGAAGTTCTTTTAGATGGGCCCGAGAGGAATCCGGACAAGTTTTCAAGTTGATGCAAAGGAAGACTACGATCTCGCCGGGTATGAGAATACGAACTTTGAAAAGTAGATTTGCACGTTGAAGAGCATTGTGCCCGCCAAGCTTTCGATTGCGAAAGTGCAACTGATATTGTAAACTCAAGCCATCGATGGAAGGTCGCGTGGTTAGTCTCATGGTGGTGTCCTCTGATGTAGTTTGAGTAGCCCGGGCTCCCACTCCACTTAGGGACTAGAAGCCTCGGACCACATTTCACCTTAAGAAAAGATAATGGAGGAGTGTCTGGACAACTCAGTGTTATATACATTACCCTGAGTGGGTACTCACGGATGAGGGTTGACTTGGGGTGAAAGAAAATTCCGCGATGACTTCGCAGTGGTTCATGCAAATGAAATCAGAAGAATGAGCGCTCCTGCTTTGAGTAATGCCATCTATTCAGTACTTTTTCTCTAAGATCGTATCATAACTAGACAGTTGTATACGCAGTTAAAATCTGCTGCAAAAAGAAAACATGCTTCGGTGGTATTTGTGAATGATATACAGACTACATGTACCTCCTGAAGCCAAAGTATTTGTTTGGCATGTAGGAAAAAAATTGATGTTGCCTCGTAGGTAGAAAGCTGACAGCACATCCAAAAAAAAAAGATACTTACCTTCCACAGGCAATTTCTAAAGAGTTAAGACGTGACTTGAGCTGAGTTATTTCAATGCGAGAACATAATGATCAATTGAAACGAGCCCCAAGAGAGCTTTGCATATTTTGTGCATATTATATTCCCCCTATAGTGTTCCCGGGTATCCATCACTATGGTGCCGGGATGGGCCACTGACAGCTATCTCTTGTTCATTGCACGGTAGGTCTAGCGATAGATGGCTGGCAGTCTCTGATCCCGAGAAGGATTGATGTGAGGACACAATATTCTGCTCAGATACATCTCAACCCAATAAAAGAGCAGGAAAATATACCCAGAAGCAAGGAGGACAAGGATTGAATGATGCAGCGGGAGATTAGAATCATTCAGCAAAAGGACGACGGCTGCACGCCGAATAAGCTACATAGCTCTCGTTGTAAGGGAAGCCCTGATCCTTGCAACTTCCGCTACCGCTACCCGCGGAATCTCCAGATGCAAAGAATACTAGCCACCTGGCATCCGCCGGACGCATGTTAGGAGGACCACAGAGCTCCAGAATGAGCTGTGAATAGTACCTTTCATCATCCCAATTAGGCAGCTATGTTGAATACAGGTATATGTAAAGATATCCTGATAATGCTTTCGGGAACTGGCTACACCAGCCCTTCAGAGAAGTTTGCTCGGTCACCTCAAACCACCACACTGCTGTTTCTGTAATTTCTCCACCCTGCCGAACAGTTCAATACGTAAAAAATTGCGTGTCAGACTGTTCAAATAGGTCATTCCCATCGAGCTACCCAAGATTGCAGCAAATCGAAGGCTCTCGTAGCAGGATGTAGACTAGTGTCTTAACTAATCATTGAATCTTCAGTTTCCCTCGGCTGCACCCTTCAAACATATCATTCCGATCACCTACTGCTGGCTTCAAGCTACATAAATGTGAATGTGAATTAAAGATAGCCGTCCATGTCTTTTCGAGATAGGTGTGCCTGCAAATTCCCTGTTTACGTCATATTCCTTGCATCTTAGGACAAACAGCTCGTTTCTTTCTCCCAAAGATCATATTCCAGTAAGGTCAAAAGTAATTTAGGCGGCCTCTGTTTAGTCTTGACGCCCGGCTACATCGACATCCAGTCCTCCTTGCTTCGCCTTCAAATTTTAGTCTGTGCACAGAGTTCTCGCCTAGTTGCACAGACATAAAACCTTATACCTGGCCTATCATGACGGACAGCCTTTGACGATAGTACCTTGTAATGTTAATGGGATAAATATCTTGCTTGGCATGTGAGTCGACTTGTCGGAAGGAGAGATAAATCGATACCGGGTACATACTCCCAACATTGTCCTACCCGCACAGACACTTTGACGCGAACGAGTGTGTCTTGAGCGCGTACCGTCAGTAGAGGACTCTCAGATCCGCCTCAACAAGTTGGACCCGAGTTTCCCTTCACGTCACAACAGCTTGAAAATTTGTGAATGCCGAGTAACGCTTTTAAGGCTGGATGACGGATGATTTCGTCACGTTGTAAACTTTGGCTCTACTCTTTGATATCTTCATCAGGCGAGGTCATCTTAAACATGAATTCTCTACGGTTCACAAGCATCATTATACCGGTGTATCGTTTACAACGGGTCGCCTGTAGTTGGAAATTCGGCCGGTGAAAAACGGTGAGAATATTTGAATGACCAAGGGAGAACTGTACCCATTTTGAACAGACTTAGCCATGGCAAAGACGGCAGAAAGGAATGGCGTGGCGAGGCCGCGTGATAGCACCACTGGGGGTGAACGGATGGATCATCGCTGAAGAAAGGAACAGTCCCCAAAGCGACGCGGCAAAGTCCCTAATGAATCCCACTCCGAACTGGCGGTTTCGATTCTGATAGGGGCGACGTAAGGGCATAATGACGGATATTGTTGAGGGTCCGCTTTTGTCCAAACGCTGAGCTCCCTGGAGAGCACAAACTTCGTAAATTGGCGCGCAAATACTGATCGGCTTGTTCGAGAGTTAAATGAAGCAGTCCTGAGGATAATGTGCTGCTGTGGCTAACCAAGTTGTGATGAAGTAGAACTACAGGGCTTTGGAGTTTGGCAATTGAAGGTGTCAGTGAACGATTTGCTTAAACCGCGGTCTTACTGTTTGAGCTCTACAGTCGTAAGGCGGAGATGAGCGAAAAGGAAGATTCACAAGTGCACGAATGGCGTGATGGAAGCCCCGGAGACAAGCCGGGTGCCATCCCATCCAACCCCTGCCTTGTCCAAATTTAGCCTAGCCTAACCCGAGGTCAGATCCAGGCATAGGCTGCATTAGCGGGAGCAAAAGCCTTAATGGGACAAGTAAGGGCCCCCTTTTCTCCATTTTACTTTTGTTTTTCTCAACGACTTTCCGTATCACATGGACTATTAGGACATGGGAGGAAGGGGGTTGATTCGAGCAGTGAAGGAGCCCGATCATTTTCTATACCAGCGCCCATGCTCTGAGCTTTCTAAAGACTACGTTGAAGTCAGCCAACAAGTAGCAAGCCGATGCTCATGTACTGACTCACACTACTGAATCTGTCAAGGCGAATATGCTTACATTGCCGGGCAAACTCGAATTGACGTTGAAGCTAACTTCGAGCTCAAGGGTGCCCGTCGCGGCTGTCCGTAATAGGCAAGCTTCGCCTCCACCCCAGCTCATCCAATCAAATCAGGGAACAGAGTCAAGGCGATGAAGCTGCCGAAGACAGCAAAAGACTGGCGCCGCTCGTGTTGCGCCTGGTTCCTATCGTGGGCAGAGCTGAGCTTAAAGACAAGTGGGTGATTGACGGATATCCATCATCTTCCAAACCGCCATCTGTCATAGCATGGCATGGCCTTGTCTGGCATGGCACGGGTTATCAACTAATCTTAGCTGTGCCGTGCTGCGCTGAATCAGCTCGAGCAAAGGCGCATGTTGAGGAACGGGGGAGCGAAGGCCTATGCTGCATTGCCACTCTCTCCCCCCACCCGTCGCCTGTTTAGGAAAAGCAACTTTTGTTGATAATCTACATGTCGCCCTGTATTTTCCTCTGCTCTAATATCTAGTTATCACACAGGTTGCCTGCGTATTATAACCTTCTTCTCTCACCATTATTCATCGTCACTTCAATCCTTTCTTTTGTCCTGTTTCCACACCCATCGGAGCTTTTGGTGACGGCCTACAACGTGGCACTCTAATAACTTACCGCAGCATTCCACCGCGATTCTATTAGCCTGAAAATTTGCTGAAGACTGCTCTCCTAGAAAACTGCGCTCACTGGTTCATCTACGACTGTTACGTTATGGATTCATCAAAAAACTCTCCATGGCTTGCTGCGCCATCCATTGATCGCCCTTTCGGGATTCGATTATGGCCAATATTTGACCGTTTCTTCTACACACTCGCAGGTTATCACCCGCAAGACTTTGATTTTAAGCCAAGAGAGACTCCTATGTCTACGCTCAAAGAAAGTTTTATGACGATTATTGTGTACTACATTGTAATATTAGGGGGACGAGAACTGATGCGCACGCGTCCTGCTTTTCAACTTAACACTTTATTTAAGATTCACAATTTCTACCTCACTGCTATAAGTGGAGGTCTCTTGGTTCTTTTCCTTGAACAATTAATTCCTACTATTGCCAAACACGGTGTTTTCTTCGCTATTTGCGACCACCGCGGTGGATGGACTCCACCCCTAGTAATTCTTTACTATGTACGTCTTCCGAGTCTTTAAACAAACTCAACTAACAGAGAAATATAGTTAAACTATTTGACAAAATACCTTGAACTTTTGGACACCGTGTTTTTGGTGCTAAAGAAGAAACCATTGAGTGTGTACCCTCATTTATTATTAAAAAATTTGTTAACACCTCCTAGCATTCCTACACTGTTATCACCATGGAGCAACGGCTTTACTTTGTTACTCACAGTTGATCGGTCTAACATCTGTCTCTTGGGTCCCAATTACCCTCAATCTCACTGTACATGTCGTCATGTACTGGTATTACTTCCAGAGTGCTCGTGGAATTCGGATATGGTGGAAAGAGTGGATCACGCGTCTTCAGATTATCCAATTCGTCATTGACTTAGGTAAGCAACCCAAATTGGTATTTTCTAACTTCTAACCCCGTGGGTATTAGGATTCATCTATTTCGCGTCGTACAGCTACTTCGTCTCTACTTACTTCAATTGGTTACCGCATGTTGGAGACTGCGCTGGTGAAGAATTTGCCGCGTTCAGTGGAATGGGTATAATAACATCTTATCTTGTTCTATTCATATCATTCTATATCGCCACATATTCCAAAGCGTCTGGCAAGGTAAGAAGAAATTTCAAACTGCCTAACTCTTCTCACTGATTATGACAGAAAGGAACTGGGCGAAAAGCTGCAAAGTCTCTAAAAGATGCAGAAAGTAAGTGAAATAAAACCTTGAACTTCCTTAATGCTAATTAAATCTAGTACCCGATGTCCAAGCATTGATGAACGGCAAAGCCACAGGTTCATCGAGCGCCACTTCTGGCAATGGGGCTAATTCGCGCTCCACAAGGTCTCGCAAGGCTTAGTAGCGACGGGCTTGGAAGACTAAAATCTTGAAATAGGGGCTACCCATATAGTATAAATCGTTTTTCGGTTTCACATTTACATGAGTCACAAATAATATAGAATAGGGAGGGGAGACTACAGGTGACTAATAGACATAGAATACAGCTCATGTCATGACAATCAGCTATAAGCAGCCACACATAGGAACATTGATGTCATAAAAAGCGATGTAATTTTACTGCGGGGTTTTTGGCTTATCCACGCTTGTCAATTCAATTCGAATATTACCTTGTCCTCGTTCTTTATAGAGAGAAGCGATCGTCGCGAATCCTAGTAATAGCCTCTGTCATCCCCCAGTAATGCACGTCCCCAAAATTGCTTCCTTCCATTCGTCCTTCAGCAGATCATAAGGTAGTTATATGACCCAGATCACAAAATGTTGACCTATTACAATGTTTCTACAGTATTACGAACTGTTCCTGTACCAATCAGCTTGGTAATAAATTAATTACGCTGTAAAAAGTAGCAGCATTAATGTCTTTGAGACATCAAATCTCATCAATCGCAATTCGATGAGAATATTCGGGGGCAAGGCTTCCAGCAGACAGGTTGCTATTGCTGCAAGAATAACTACAGTAACAAAGGAGAACTATTCATTGCCACGGATAACCCTTTTTTGCCCTACAATTTTTGACGTCAGCAGCGGAAAGTCAAATTGATGCGGACACAAGGCTTCGAGGTGGCATTACGAGGTGAAATGCAAAACTGGGTGAAGGGTTGTAGCCGTAGCAAGGGCCAGGATATAGTGAAATATGAGTAGAGTTACCGGGAACATGCAGATTAATGCTTAAGTGTGCGCTTGGCACGCGCGGCCAAGGGATATCAGGCCAGCACAAGGCGGACCGCTTCCGAATATCCATTCACAACGAGGTAGTAATGCACACTAAAATCATGGTTAACACGTCGCCAATTCCGCTAAGGACTGAAATTTATTGCTATTTCTTGCAGGCCCGGTGCACTAATGCTATCAATGAGTACATTATGAAATAAAAAGTACGTTGCTGATACAGTTCTACTTACGTTACCTTTCGAGCCTTCGAGGCGCTCATGCTTTTAGGCCATCCTACAAAGTGGCACACGCATACAAGTAGCTGTCACACGTGGCATCAGGGGTCCCTGAAAGCCGCCGGACATCATTACCGCATTAAGGATAATGAGTGCATCATTTTTTTTTTTTTTTTTTTTTTTTTTTTGCATCAGATTTTAATTGCGTATGCAGCTATCTAGCTATGACACAATATCAAAGAAAAGTACAGAATAGATGATTCAACGTAAAGGAAGAGCACTCATGCCTCGGATTTCATTTGCAGGTACCACTGCGAAGTTATGGTGGCTTTTTCTTCACCCCAAGTCAACCCTCATCCGTGAATACCCACCCAGGGGAACATCTCAAAAACCCTGAGTTATCCAGACATGCCTCCGTCATCCATCAACTTTTCTCCGCGCGAAATGTAATCTGAGATGTCTCCTTCCCAAGTGGAGTAGGTGCCCAGGCTACTCAAACTATACCAGAGAACATCACCAGGAGGCGGATCACAACACCTTCCATCGTCGGCTTGTTTTTATAGTGTCAGCTGCACTCTCGCAAGCGAAGTCTTGGCGCGCACAAAGCTCAATTCGTAAAACTCCTTGCCAAAATTCGGAATCTCACGCCCTTCGAGGTTATATCCTTCCTCCGCATCATCTTGTAAACTTGTCCTGATTCCTCTCACGTCCATCCCAAAGAACTGTCTCCCAGATTTGTGCGTCACGCTTTGCTTCCTCCGTCGGGTATAAATATCGGCGTGGGCGTGTATTTGGTGACCAGCTGAGGCCAGAGAAGGTCGAAGAGTGGTGTGGTCATTGGAATGAGGATGTACTTGGTCGTACTTGTAGACTCGATGAGACGAAGATAGGAGTCAAACTCGTTGGGAGCGAAATAACGACGTGGAGGAGTAATTTGGATTTTTGCCTCGTGGGCCAACTTCTTTGATATTGCGAAATTTGACTGAACTTGGCTCTGGGAGAATATTTCACTCCCAAGTTCGTAGAGGACACCGCGTACAGGTGTTCAGTCTTGCCCTCCAATGAGTGCATCATGGTGGCATATCTATAGCCTTGAAGCAAATCTTCCTTTGAGTGAGGCTGGGAAAAGGAGAGAGAAAGGCTGGAAATTTGACCAAAGCCGATAGGACTAGCTCATTGCCTGTGTGGCTGCATACGCAGCGCCACGTTCTAGGTTTGCTCAAGCAAGACATTTGATGGATGAAAAGGCAAACGAGTTGAACGGTGTTTGAGGTGAAACTCTATATTTTTTAGCGGGCCGTACATCTATTAATATACATTCCCTTGAATTCTACTTCCCCGGCCGTGTCGATCCGGTAAAATTCAGTAATACGCAAATTTACAATGCAAATGCAAAACAACTACTAACCCACGGATAACAGCATGCCGGATCTCTGGGTTCTGAGCCCCAATCAAGGCGACGGCTATGTCGGCAAGTTTTTCATGGAGCTGATGCTGGCTGTAAATTAAGCATCCACATGGACCGAATCGGCCCTAGCTTGTCAGCTTTACTTCAGAGAAATTACTTTATCTTACTTGTTACGTTGGATTCCGGCCTTAAACCATAAACATTCGAAGGTCACGATTTGCCGTATACTGATTTCATTAACTTTATCTGGGCTCACCTCAAGTTAAACGACCGCGAAAATACGAAAACCTACAGGCAGATAAAAATAATGAGACACAAATTTTGCAGAGCAGATCCTATGGATGGATGTGGGAAGCATCAGGATGGGTTGGCAAGATGATGCTAAGGATGAATTATTCGTGTAAGATGAAATATCAAATTTTGTTTATTTTTTATATGGAAGAATATTGTGCACGCTAAACTTTCGATTGCGAGAGTGCATGCGATACTATAAACATTACTATGGTTGGATGGTGCAGTAATAAATCTTCTACTCCGGTCTTCTTGGTAGATTCTGGGTAGCTTGAACAACCATCCCAGGTGAGACAAAAGATCGCTCGTTGGAATCTGAAAAAAAAACACCTAGATTCCTTGCGACACTAGTATGAATGGTTAAAGAAGAAATGCTTGGATAACCAAAGGTTTTGAATTTCCCTTTGGCGGGTACGCACCGAGGGAGATATTCTGCTTGTGTAAGCAAGCAGACCTCAGTGATATCTGCGAAGGAAATTTAGAGTATGAGTGTCTCTAATGTTAAAAGAGTCCTCCAAAATGCAAGCATAGCACCGATCATATGTGACAGCTAGATAGCCGAATACACATTAAACGGTTTAAAAAAATGGCTTCAATCCGGGGCGCCTTTGATTGATTTTCAAGTGTTCGCCCAGTTTCTCCGAAGCGGAGTGTAATGCTTTCATACTCTGTTAGACACTGAGGATTAAATAAAAAATGTAAAGTGAAAGTATGTAGACTGACACCGGGCCGACAGGAAAGATAAATGAAAGGACAGCGAAACCCCTCAGAAGTATTCAAAGAAAATGCTTAAAGCTTGTTGCAGATATCTACAACTCTACTAGCAATAGAGTGCTATAGCATGAATTGTTCATCCTCCTTATAGAGATATACCTGAAACAAAGGAGGGCCTAGCACGCCGGACTAACAGCTAAACTCCCTGTTCAATAGACAATACGATCGGCATGTAAGAGGATAAAGCTGCCCGCAAACTGGAGAGAAACCCCGGATGCCTTGAAAAAGAGGAAAGATGTCGCCTAATGGACAAGAACTTGCGGAAGGGAAAAGGACATGGTAAGGCAGAAAGCAGCTGGAAAGATAGCGGCCTTTCAGGAGTTGAAGAATTCATGGACAGGCCAGAATAAGAAATAGCGCCCTGGCCGACCAGCATCAGCCGATCCAGAATATTGGAAAGTGGTAAATATATTTACTGATGAACAAACAGGCAGCACCAAAATGAATTTCAAAGATACACCCTTGAAAATACACCGTAACCTAACCAGGGCCCAAAGTAGTGTCGCCATTCAGCTAAAAAGCAAGCATATCTGACTCGATTCTTACCTGTGCAGAAGAAAAGTACCCGGAGTTGAAAGCCCAACCTGTCAATGTGGATATCCGCCACAAAATGACAAGTGCATGGTGTTAGCATGTCCGCAGTGGGCAAGTGGAGGAGGCGACTTTCTCCGACAAGCTAAAGATAGGTCATTTGAAGCAATGATTTAGAGCCTAGAAGATGTGGCTAGAATCACACAGTGGATACTAAGCAAAGGATGGATAAAACAGTTACGACTTGCAGGAGAAGTAGGGGTAGCAACGTCGGATATAAAAAGTCGATCTGGAAGGGGAGAGGACGGAATCTACACTGGCTGAACAGTTTAAACTTCACTAGCCGAGGGTATACTAAACAAGCAGATAGCAATATAAACAGGCAGGAATAGGGGGTTTTCACCAAATTGGTTTCCTCCTTTGTAAATAATGAAGATAGTCACCTGCATGGACTCATAGGGAGCGTGATCGGGTTAAATGAAATCAAATTCAAAAGTGAAATTATGTTGATAAAAATTTAGTTTCTCTCCGGGCTTATTGTTATACACCTATTCAAAATTATTTTCGCAAGAGAATATCGTCTTGTTTCCGAACATAAAATGATTGAATAAACTACATGTGCTGGAGATCAATTGGTCTTCAGGTGGAGTTTTAATCTTCTTAATCATACTTGTGACGGAAACCGAGTTGGTGATGAAATAAGTCGATCTATTAAACTGTATGAGCAGAGAAGAGAACTCTAGCTAAAACTAACAGGTACTTATAATGACTGATCCGCTGTGTGTATCTACTAACTGATGGCTTTCCTCCAGATATCATACTTGCTAACTAGCCACGTATCGTTGAGTGTTAGTTGTAACAGCGATCTAGCGTCCTGGGGGGTTTTTTTTTGCATCAGATTTTAATTGCGTATGTAGCGTCCTGGTTAGTATTATCGTTTCGTCTAGTTCT